AAGAGCTAGGATTACAGGTGTACACTAGGGTACCTAACTGAGATGGAGGACCTTTAAGGCCTAAGTGCTCTCTGGAGCACTGCGAATGTGCAGTGGAGTGAAGTTTCCGGCCAGCCTGGTCTACAAGAGCTAGTTCCAGGACAGCCTCCAAAGCCACAGAGAAACCCTGTCTCGAAAAACCAAAATAAATAAATAAACAAACTCATGGCGAAGAACATACCCAGTATATACACATGTTCCCAGGTGAACACAGACACAAATCTTTGCCATCATGGCTGGGTAGAGGATGAAGTGGGAGGGCAAAACCTTTGGAGATGTGTGAGACTGACCAGAGACTAGCCAACAGCAGGCTTTCCAGCATCAGAATAGCTGCCTCTGTGATCCGCAGGGCTGTGAGCAAGAAGCTAGCTCTGTACTCTCTGTACTTCCTTTAGCCCTGCCCCGAATGTAACCTTTCTACCATGGGTGCTGCTGGGTTGGAGCTGTGAACTGTGGGTAGGCTTCTCCTGGGGCAGCTGACTCCATCAGATGGCCTTTCACTCAGCGTGAATCCAGTGACAATTACCTGCTCTGAACTTTAACTAGCCATCTCCCTGAGCTTCAGTTCTTTTGTTCTTTTGTTTGTTAGCTTTTTTGAGACAGTCTCTGTATTGCTTTGGAGGCTGTCCTGGAACTCGCTCTGTAGACAAGGCTGACCTCAAACTTAGAGATCCTCCTGCCTCTGCCTCCAGAGTGCTGGGATTAAAGGCATGGACCACCAACGCCCAGAGAGCTTCAGTTCTTATGGGAAAGTATTTTGAGGTCTACAGAGATGATTCAGCAGTTAGCACTGGCTCCTTTTTGTAGAGGATCAAGGTTCCATTCCCTGCACCCATATGGAAATTCACTGTCCATAATTCCCTCCAAAGATTCTGACGCCCTCTTCTGGTCACCACCAGCACTGCATGTTCATGATACACATAATTTGTAAATTTTTGTTTTGTTTTTTGAGACAGGGTTTCTCTATTGCTTTGGTCCCTGTCCTGGAACTAGCTCTGTGGACCAGGCTGACCTTGAACTCACAGAGATCCACCTGCCTCTGCCTCCCTCGTGCTGGGATTAAAGGTGTTCAACACCACTGCCCGGCTTAATTATTTGATGAAATGGCTCAGTGGGTATAGATTCTTGATACCAAGCCTAATCTTTACCCACATAGTAAAAGGAGCAACTGACTTCCTAAAAGTTGCCCTTTGACCTCCACAGTGCTATGAAACACTTGTGTCTACATACACACATACATACATGTGATGTTTTAAGACTCTAGCCAGGCATGGTTGCACATACCTTTAGTTCCAGCACTCAGGAGGCAGAGGCAGGTAGATCTTTGTGAGTTCAAGGATAGTCAAAGGTTTTACACAGAGAAGCCCTGTCTTAAAAAAACCAAAAACTAAAAGACTCTATGTAGGAAGACAGGCAGATGGTTCAGTAGGGCAAGTGACTATCACATGAGGACCAGAGTCTGGATCTTTAGCACCCACACAGAGGCCAAGAGTAGCATGGAGATGGGGCGCAGGCTGAGACAGACAATTCCTATTGGATCACTGGCTAGCAAGTATAGCCAAATGGCTAGGCTCCAGGTTCAGTGAGAGACATCGTCTCAAAAAAAAAAAAAAAAAAAAAAAAAAAAATACGGTGGAGAATTGAGGAAGACACCCAATGTCAACTTCCATCTACCACACACAAGCATACACAAAGAGCTGGGAGGCAGAGGCAGGGGGATCGCTGAGTTAGAGGACAGTCTGGTCTACAGAGTGAGTTCCAGAATAGCTATGGCTACACAGAGAAACCCCATCTCAAAATACAAAACTAACAAAAGAAAACAACAAAAAAGAACTTGTGTAGGGAAGCGGGAAGTGATGACAGGAATCTGTAATCCTAGTACTGTGGAGGCAGAAGAATCAGGAGTTTCAGGTCAGCCTTGGCTATATATTGAGTTTAAGGCTAGCCGGGATACAAAAACAAAAAAACAAACAACAGAAACAAGCCAGGTGTGGTGGCACACATCTTCAATCCCAACACCTGGGAGGCAGAAGCAGATGGATCTTGGTGAGTTCCAGGCCAGCCTGGTCTACATAGCAAGTCCTAGACCTGCCAGGGCTACTCAGTGAAATCTGATCTAAAATACAAAAACTTAAAAAATGCAAAAAAGACTCTATTTAAGGGCTAGAGGCATAACTCAGTAGTAGATCATTTGCCTAGCTAGGCTGTACCAGGCAGTGGGTTTGATCCCTAGCACTGAACAAAAGGAAAACCCTATGAAGCACTTTGCTGGCACAGTAGATTTCCAATAGCTTTTGACACTCATGAGCACCTATGATTCATAGCTCCTCTGGGAAGGAAGAAATTCCATCTTCCACAGATGAGAAGGCTGAGGGTCCTATAAAAAGATAATCGTGTCTCGTAGACTCAGGAGGGAAGGCTACTTATGCCTGGGAAATAAGGCTTTCAACATCTAGGCTGAGAAAGGATGGGCAGGAAGGAAGGTCAAAGTTTATGGAACAGGAAAGCATTACAGGAAAGAAACCAGATGCAGCAAAGCTAGGTTTGAGCTGGAAAATCTACCAATCAGGCGAGGAATGCCTGGTACAGAGAACCGGTTGTATAAGGTGGTACCTAAACTACAGGCTGTGGGAAGCTACAGGCCCCCAGTTGGATGGCAAGCTTAGGGCTTCTTCTCTCTCAACCTAGATCAGCCCAGAGGAGGAAGAGCGCCGCAGAGTGAGGCGCGAACGGAACAAGTTAGCAGCGGCTAAGTGCAGAAACCGGAGAAAGGAACTGACAGACTTCCTGCAGGCGGTGAGCATCAGCTGGTACAGAGAGCTCCCAGGCCCTGGTGCCTCCAAGCCCAAGAGGGGCCTTGGGTCCCAGGAGCACGAGAAACCCAATAAATTACTCCTCTACACCCCTCCCTCCTCCCTGCCTGAGGGGAAGTCCTGGGGAAAGGATAAGGAAACCCACCTTTGATCCCAGTACTTGGGAGGCAGAGGCAGGCAGATCTCTGTGCATTCAAGGCCAGCCTGATCTACAGAGCGAGTACCTGGACAGCCTGGGCAGTTATTTACACAGAGAAACCCAGTCTCAAAAATCAAAACAAAAAATTATTTGTCTTGGGCTTTGAAGCAGAAAAGATGTTGGTAGGCAAGTCTAAGACGCCTTGGCCCTCCCTGATGGGAGTCATGGCCATTTTCTCCCAGGGTCTCATGGGAGTTGCAGTCCAGACTTGCTGGGTGGGGCTCCAGGCACAACCCCCACACTCCATCCTGAGGCTTGGAGATCTTTAGCCCTCTTAAATTTCTCCTAATCCTCTAAAGGAGACCGACAAATTGGAGGATGAGAAATCAAGCCTGCAGCGAGAGATTGAAGAGCTGCAGAAACAGAAGGAGCGCCTTGAGCTGGTGTTGGAAGCCCATCGCCCCATCTGCAAAATCCCAGAAGGAGATAAGGACACAGGTGGTTCCAGCAGCACCAGTGGCAGCGGTGGGAGCAGCCCACCAGTCCCCTGCCGCCCGGTACCTTGTATCTCCCTTTCTCCAGGGCCTGTACTTGAACCTGAAGCTCTGCATACCCCTACACTCATGACCACACCATCTCTGACTCCCTTTACTCCCAGTCTGGTTTTCACCTATCCTAGCACACCAGAACCTTGTTCCTCAGCTCATCGAAAGAGTAGCAGCAGCAGCGGCGACCCCTCCTCCGACCCCCTGGGTTCTCCCACACTCCTGGCTTTGTGAGACACCCAGCCACACCCCTAGCTGGTGCTACCCTAGCCTCCTTTCTCCCATTGATCCAGCAGGCCTGGACCATATCCATGCCCTAAGCCAGCAGGTCCTTTATCACTCAGATTAGAACAAACATATTATGCTTTGATGTAGAGCCAGCTTGGGGGTCCCCAAAGCTGCTCATTGTTTCTCTAGAGCTGGCCTATCATAATTTGCACAAAATCAGAGGCAAAATATGTCCCCTTTAGGCCAGAGAAATCCTGGCTGTCCAGACTTTGTAGATCCCCAGTGGTTCTTTGGAGCCCTATCCCTTCCTCGAAGACCACTCTCACACCACGTCACTTTCTCCATGCGGTCCAGCCAGCCCTACACCCAGACAGAAGGGTTCCTTTTCCTAGTCTAGAACACTAACTCACAGCTCCACTGCCAGCAGCACCAGGGCACCCTGCAGGCTCCTCCTGAATATGAATAACACAACTCAGGAGGCACTGGTGGCTTCTGTGATGAGCAGAGCGGCACTCCCTAGCTTTGAGAAGCCTCTGCTTTCAGGGTATCCAAGCCTCCACATCAAGGGCAGCTGCTATTTATTTTCCTAAAGAGACTATTTTTACACAAACCTTCCAAAATGGAATAAAGGCTGGAAGTTCTAGCCTGTGTTGTCGTGTTGGATCCAGAAGCTAAAGGAGATTGTTTGGAACAGGAGCTCTAGGTTCCAGTCTCAGCTGCGACCTTGAAGAAACTATCATGTATTTTTGGACTTCGATATTCTCATCTGAAGAATGGCGCTACCTCTGCTCTGCCTCGTCTCCTGTACTTCAAGAGACTGAGAATGCTCCAGAGTGCAAGCAAACAAGATTATCAGTTTTTCCCCATGGGGACCTGCGCTGCTCCTATCTTAAGGACTGGGGGCAGGGGCGGACCGTGTCATACCCTTCCACCTTCCGAACAGGCAGCCAGTGGGCTTTAGGCCCCCAACGCCTGCTTCCTGCCCTATTGTTTCAGAGAGGAAAGAGCCTGGAAAGGAGCTAGAGCCACTTCAGGGGCCGGATTTCGACCTGTCTTGGCGCCCACGGGGGAGTTAGTGGTCTACCACTGTCTTAAATCCCACCCCAAACTCCAGGTAATGAGGAGTCAGCCCTTAGTTCTGCAGTCCCTCCAGATGGGAATTGCACCACGTCTTTGAGTTTCCGCCCTCTTCCCAACCACGGCGAGTTCCAGACACAAGCTGGCCAGGCTTCGGGCTCTGCTTCCTTCCCAGTTTATTAGTCCCCACCCAACCACCCAGCAAGTCCCTCCAGTTCAGCCTCCATTCCCCTACTGCCCTGCCAGCAAGAGCAAGGGGCCCTCTTCAGTGCCAGGGCTTTTTCAGTTCATGCTAGAGCCCTGGTGCTCAGCCGAAGCAGCTACCAGGTCTGGAGGTCCACAGCAGTCTCCGCGTTCAGGGAGCAGTTCAGGCAGGCATTGGCGTGGAAAATGCGGCGCCTTCAGTCATCGGGGGAGCAGGCTAGGGGCAACTGATCTGGGCTGCCCACACTGCCAGTGCTGGAACTTCCATCGCCTAAGTCGCGGGGCCCGCAAGGGGGCAGGGCTAGCTCCGGTGTGGGCCCGGCGCCTGTGCCCACCGCACCTCCGGAGCCGCCGCGGGGGCCCCATTCTTCGCCCAGTGCCAGGCAAAGCTCCTTAAGCGCCAGGTTTTCCCGCAGCAGCTCCTCCTGGCGGCCTTCCAGCTCAGCTAGCTTCTGCCAACAGCCACCCAGGTCCTCGCGCACCGCCCGGGATGCTTGGGTCCCGAAGAGCTGCCACTGGCGCGCTGCACGCCGTCCCCGCTGGCGCTCCGAGTCCAGGAAGCAGCAGAGGTCGCGCAGTTCCCGGTTCTCTGCCTGCAGGCGCCGGTTGAGCTGTTTGAGCTCACGGATCTCGCCCAGGTGACCCTGCAGCTGCCGATTCACCTCCTGCATCAGGCGGCCGCGCTGCACCAGCGCTGCCAGGCGCGCCGCCTCCTCCCGCCGCAGGCGCCGCACCAGCTCCTCCTTACCCAGCGCCGCCATCTCCTCATCCGTCAGCTCCTCCAGGCCTCCTGCTTCGGCCTCCATGGCTGATCAGGCAGCTGCAGCATCGCCCGCCCGCCGCCGAGGCTCTGGAGCCCTTCTTCGGGCCGGCTGCCGCTCAGGCTCCGGCCCGGTCTCTGGCTCTGAGGATGGCACACTGTGGAGGAGGCAGCGTAGGATGCAGCAGCCACCCTGGGGTGGGCACGAGGCAGGGCGCGCGCCGGGGCGGGGCCTCTTTATGTTGAAGAAGAACAGCCAATCCGGAAAGTCTCCTGGGAAGGGGCGTGTCCTAAGCCTGTAGTGCCTCTCCTCTTTCCCACTCCCGACCTGGGACCGTAGAACAGTAGGGACTTTCTCCGTCCTTTCCTTCTATGGTCATCTCAGTCAGACTTGAAGGCGTTGCGGGACTCTTCGAGCACTTCTTAAGAACCGATCGATATTCAGGTGTCTGCCTTTAACTCCTCCTGCCCACCACGTGAAAGAACCTGAACAGATGGCTTTCCAGGCTCTTCTTTGCCAGAACTCTCAAACATCACTCCCAGCTATTCTGAATCCAGAGTACAAAGGTCCTGGCTCATTATCAACTGACCCTCCCTCCCTGGGAGCATTTCCTGCCTGCAGGATGGGCCACACAAAGGATTTTTTTGTTTAATAAACTTTTGTTGTGTGAAAGGCCTGTGCAGAAATAAACTTGACCAGAATCCTGACCTTGACCAAAAAGGTCAAAATGTGGCAAAAGAAAAAAAAAAAAAAAAAAAAAAAAAAAAAAGGTGGGGGGGCTGAGTGTGGAGGCTGGAGGGATAGCTCAGTAGCGCTGCTCCTGGAAAGGACCTGAGCTACGAAGCCAGCACTCACTCCTCACAGGGAGGCTCACAGCCACTTGTAACTCCTGAGGATCTGACACTTCCTTCTAGCCTCCATGGGTACAGACACACACAATTTAAAATCTTCTTTTTGGGGGAGAGGGATGGGGAGGGCATCCAAGTTCACACTGAGCATATGGCTCAGTGATCAAACACTTGCCTGGTTCATTCTTGCACTATAGAAGAAGGATGTGATGCAAAAATAGTCTCTGGGATCCCCAAAGTATTTCCCAAAGAGAATATACCTAAGGGACCCTAAAAGATACATAAGATTGCCAACAGAGAGTTCCAGAACAGATAGAGTCATGTAGAAAGACCTTGTCTCAAAACAAAACAAAAGATTGCCAATAGAGAAAAGGGATGGGAAATAAAGCAGGAAGTGTGGTAAAAGACAAGGATGCCTCCAAGAGTCTGGCTGCATTAGGCATAACTGAGGATAGTTTGAAATCTTGGTGAGTGTAGGTAAATGGAAAGTGGTAAGATGAGCAGGCTTTGAAGAGCTGTTGGCTCCTATGCTTGAAGTTGAAATACTGCCAGTTTAAACTAGCCCGGCTTCAAGGATGAGTAGAAGCCAAATTCTTTTTCTTTTGTTTGTTGAGACAGGGTTTCTTTTTGTAGCCTTGGCTGTCCTAGAACTTGCTCTGTAGACTAGGCTGGCCTTGAACTCACAGAGATCCACCTACCCCTGCCTCCTGAGTGCTAGGATTAAAGGCATTTACCACCACCACCCACCTAGAGATCGTTTTATTTTATTTTATTTATATTTTATGAGTGCTCTGCAGGTATACCTGCATGCCAGAAGAGGGCATCGGATCCTATTATAAATGGTTGTGAGCCACCATATGGTTGCTGGAAATTGAACTCAGGTCTTTTGGAAAAGCAGCCTGTGCTCTTAACCCCTGAGTCATCTCTCCAGCCGGAAGCCAAATTCTTAAGGGCTTGCAATGCTAAACTGGAGGGTTTCCAAAGGCCAGTAAGGATTTTAAACAGGGAAATAACATTTTTAAATGTTTTGTTTTGAGCCGGGCGGGCGTTGGTGGCACACGCCTTTAGTTCCAGTACTCAGGAGGCAGGGGCAGGCGGATCTCTGTGAGTTCGAGTCCAGCCTGGTCTACAGAGTGAGTTCCAGGACAACCTCCAAAGCAATACAGAGAAACCCTGTCTCAAAAAAACAACAAGTGTTTTGTTTTGTTTTGTTTGACACAGGGTCTCAATATGTAATCCTGGATGACCTGAAAGTGTCTATGAAGACCAGGTTGGCCTCCAAGTCACAGAGATTCTCTGGCCTCTGTGTAGGAATTACAAGCATGAGCCACCACATTTAGGAAACACACACACACACACTTTTTTTTTTTTTTTTTTTTGAGACAGGGTTTCTCTGTATTGCTATGGAGGTTGTCCTGGAACTCGCTCTGTAGACCAGGCTGCCTCGAACTCACAGAGATCTGCCTGCCTCTGCTTCCCGAGTACTGAACTAAAGGTGTGCACCACCAACGCCCATCGAAAATATATATTTTTAAAAGAATGTTAAAAGAAGCCAATTGTGTTGGTATATGCCAGTAGGCATAGCACCAGGAAGTGGGAGGCAGGAGTATCAGGAATTCAAGGTCATCCTTCCCATAGCAAGTTCAAGACCAGTCTGAGCTGTAGGAGATTTTGTCCCTCCCACCCTCAAAAGAAGCCTTCAGCAGTGCTGTGCAGGATAGACTCTGGCTGCAGGGTAACAGGGAGTCAGTGGGTGGAGAGGAAGAAGCCAATAGTAGAGGCACCCAGCAGGCACATAAACAGCTCTGAATGCCTGAAGAAAGGAATTTGGGAGATAGCCCAGGTTTTTAGTATGAGAACTGGGTGGATGCAGACTGAGGGTGTGAGATCTCGCTGGAGACTGTAGAATATGCTGCACCTAGGCAGAGGTGGAGTGGGAGACATGGCTTTGTTAACCAGGATATCCAGGACTTCTTGCCTTTTAGGCTCTAAGCTTCAGCTTCTTGGGCTGACCTAAACTGGCCGGTGTAGAGCTTTTTAATTTTTTTTTTTCAAGACAGGGTTTCTCTATGTAGCAGCCCTGGCTGTCCTGAAACTCACTCTGTAGACCAGTCTGGCCTCAGAGATCCACCTGCTTCTTCCTCCCAAGTGCTGGGATTAAAGGTTAATTTTCTTTCTTTAGTAATTAAAAAGGTAAACTATATTATGTGTATGTGCAACAGTGTATGTGTGGAGGTCAGAGGACAGTGTGGGCCCTGGAGATCGAACTCAGGCTGTCAGGCTTGGTGGCTCCTGTGTCGAGGTTTTGCTGCTTTACGAGGAGACAAAGAACACAGTGGACGCCTTAGCAGATAGGTGGCCCTGCGGATGTCTCAAAGACTTTAAGGGAAGTCACAGCTTGTGTGGGGGGTGTAGTATGGCTCAGTGGTTATGAGCAAATACTGCTCTTGCCGAGAAGCCGAGTTCAATTCCCAGCACCCACATTGGCAACTCACAGTTGCTTGTAATTTCAGCTCCACAGGATCTGATACATCTGGTCTCCGAGAGCATCTGTACTCACATGCACATAGCCTCCCCCCACATACATGTAGTCCAAAATAATAAAAATCAAATACATGGCGGGGACAGGAAAGATGCTCATCTATCTGATGGACTATGGAAGTAGAACCGCACGCACAGAGATTTAGGATAAGGCCTCGAAAACATTGTAATTTAGGATACAGGTCAAAATTGGGAGGCTTTGAGAGAGCTGAGAAAAAAGGGAGAGAAAGGAGGAGGAAATGGGAGAACCTGCAAGACAGGGGAGAATGGGAGAAGACCTCTGACGGGGAGAGAAAAGAGAGCAGCGTTACTTCCTACCGCTCCGTCCCGGAAGTAGTCCTTTGCTGGCTTCGGGTGCCCGGAGCGAAACCTCCACACTCCCGGAAGTGGCTCTGCGGCGGCTTGCACGGCCCCGGGCCGTGCTAGCTCCAGCTCTGGGCAAATCCGGCCCAGGCATCGCCATGACCAGCGAACTAGACATTTTTGTGGGCAACACTACCCTTATAGATGAAGACGTGTATCGCCTCTGGCTGGATGGTTACTCAGGTCTGTGTAGCGCACTCCCGGGAAGTAGTTGCTTTGGGTGAGAGAGGGGGCGTGGCCAGGACTTAGGTTTCACTTAGGGAAGTGGACCGATTTCTGGGAGTCAGGAATGGAGAAGGATTGGAGCTGGAACCCTTGGAGGGCATCTAGGTTCAGCAGGATAGGATCTTATGGTAGTGCCCTCTCCCTTAGTGAACGATGCGGTGGCTCTGCGAGTACGCTCCGGAATCCTGGAGCAGACAGGCGCCACCGCAGGAGTGCTGCAGAGCGACACCATGGACCATTACCGCACCTTTCACATGCTCGAGCGTCTGCTGCACGCGCCGCCGAAGCTGCTGCACCAGCTCATCTTCCAGATCCCTCCCTCCCGACAGGCGCTCCTCATCGAGAGGTGCTCACCTGGGGGATGGCGGGAATGTCAGTCATTTTGACTTATACCCATTTTTCAGGCTCAAACTGAGGCTCAGGAAGGATGGGACAAGAAATCAGGAAATTGAGAATAGAAGGAACCAACCCCAGGCTCCTGTCCCCATACTTAATGGATCACCAGTAATGTCTTATGCCTCCACAAGGTACTACACCTTTGACGAGGCCTTTGTTCGGGAGGTCTTGGGCAAGAAGCTGTCCAAGGGTACCAAGAAAGACCTGGATGACATCAGCACTAAAACAGGAATTACCCTCAAGAGCTGCCGGAGGCAGGTGGGTTCTACATATATACCATATCCCATCTAGCCCGCCCTTGATCTTCTGCCCACCACCCTAGCTCCCAGTGCCCTGGCTCCACTTCTAGCCTGTGGAAGCAGCTTTTTCATATGTGGTCTCTTCTCCTCCACCTCCCATCTGGCCAGAGTGACCTTTCATAGGCTCAGTTCTGACCATGGCTTTCCTTTGCTTATAGATTTTCATTGACTTCCATTGTCCTTGACTTTCAGACTCTGGTTGGGTTCCTATAGACCTCTCTAGGCTTACATTTCTTGAGCCCCAAGCTTGTTTTTGTTCATAGTGCTCCTGCCTAGAAGGAGGCAGGAGCCTCTTCTAGGTCATACTACACCTTGTAGTAGTATTGTTCTTGGCCACATCTATCCCTTGAAATCCACAGCAGGGAGCTAGATGCTGCCTTATACATGCACCATTTTGGTAGCATCCACCGTAGTATCCATGAGCCTTTTCTTTGAGTACTAGACATCATGATTCTAAAATAAATTTAAGGACAAGAGCAAGGGAACTTTCTTTTAAGGAAAAATGGCAAAAGCTGTCAAACATTTGTTGACTGATGACAGTTAAAAATACCTAGTAATGCTGGCTGTGGTGGCCCAGCCCAGGCCTTTAATCCCTGCACTGGAGAGGCAGGGGTAGGCAGAGCTCTGTGAGTTTGAGGCCTGCCCAGTCTATATAGTGAGTTCCAGGGCAGCCAGTGAAGCCTTGTCTCAAAACAAACAAACAAAAACCAAAGTCATTTGTTGAAACAATCCCTAGTGGGAAACTATCTGCCGACAGCAGAGAGAGAGGTCCTCTGCCAGTTCATACATGAACACCTCTGACCCGTCTTCTTCCTTCTTTAAATGCCCTACAGTTTGACAACTTTAAGCGAGTCTTTAAGGTGGTGGAAGAAATGCGGGGCTCCCTGGTGGATAACATTCAACAACACTTCCTCCTCTCTGACCGCCTAGCCAGGTGAGAGGCCAACCATCTTCCTGCCTGCACAGTTTCCTTGAGCCTTAGACTGGTACACCTTCCTTCCCCATCCTGATCCTTTTCTCCTCCCACTATTCTGGAAGAATGAATATTCTATCAGCGATCTGTAAATTGCATCAAATGGGCCAGGGTTAAGGCATTTGTAATGCATTTAAGACTTGCACGGTGATGGTAATGTGGCTTTCCACAGGCCACATTTCCTTAGGAAGACTGGATGAACCCTCTCTTTGCAGAGATGGGAGGTTGGTAAAGAATGTTCTGTGGATGGTCACACTGTGAGTTAAAGCAGGCAGAAGTAAGCTGGGACTAAAGTACTTAGCCAAGATCACAGGTGGGATTACCTGCTAAGAGGGATTTAAAACAAGAAGTTTCTTCAAGAATAGTTGTCAAGTAGCCAGGCGGTGGTGGCACACACCTTTAACCTCAGCACTTGGGAGGCAGAGGCAGGTGGATCTCTGTGAGTTTGAAGCTGGCCAGGCCTACAAAGAGAGTTCCAGGACAGCCAGAGCTGTTTCACAGAGAAATGCTGTCTTGAAAAACCAAAAACAGCTTACTGATTGAAACAGTTATAGGCACCATGAGAAGGTATTTCTAGTCCTAAGAGCCCACTGTCCCCTGTCTGCAGAGATTATGCAGCTATCGTCTTTTTTGCCAACAACCGATTTGAAACAGGAAAGAAAAAGCTACAGTACCTGAGCTTTGGTGACTTTGCCTTCTGTGCTGAGCTTATGATCCAGAACTGGACCCTTGGAGCCGTCGGTGAGGCCCCCACTGACCCAGGTGCCTGAACATTCCCTGCCCTCTTGGGGACTGCCATCAGCTCTTCCTGTAGCTTCACTGTGCCCAGCATCCTTCATGCCCTCAGGCCCAGGCCACCCCTGCATTTACAGCATCCTTCGTGCCCTCAGCATCCTTCATGCCCTCAGGCCCAGGCCACCCCTGCATATACAGCATCCTTCATGCCCTCAGGCCCAGGCCACCCCTGCATATACAGCATCCTTCGTGCCCTCAGCATCCTTCATGCCCTCAGGCCTAGGCCACCCCTGCATATACAGCATCCTTCATGCCCTCAGGCCCAGGCCACCCCTGCATATACAGCATCCTTCGTGCCCTCAGCATCCTTCATGCCCTCAGGTCCAGGCCACCCCTGCATATAGTCCACTCACTCCACATGCACCTTGTGTGCAGTCCAAGGCTCACGTCTGTGTGGCCTGGGGCATATCATCCCACCTTCCATCTTTGAGATCCCAGTGAGGTAGTGGTGAGGAAAGTTCAGGACCTCAGAAAATGGTCTCTCATCCACCCACAACTTCTTTCATGGTTTTTGCAGACTCCCAGATGGATGACATGGATGTGGACTTAGACAAGGAGTTTCTCCAAGACTTGAAGGAGCTCAAGGTTCTAGTAGCCGACAAGGACCTTCTAGACTTGCATAAGAGGTGACCTCAGGGATCCATGAGCCAGGGTATAAAATGATCTCTGATGGCTATAGTGTGACCCTATCTTCCTACAGCCTGGTGTGTACTGCCCTCCGGGGAAAGCTGAGTGTCTTCTCTGAGATGGAAACCAACTTCAAGGTCTGTGGCCCTGTCCAGGCCCTTCCCCCTAAAGTGTCAGGAGCTGGGCAACTCTGCTTATGCCTGAAATTGACCAGCAGGTGGCACTGCTGCTCTATCTGTCTATGAGGGGGACCAAGTTCATAACAAAAGGAACTTGATTGAGGGAGGTGGATAGATTTGGGGAGGGGCCCAGCCCTCCCCCACCCTCAGTGCTCAGCCTCCAGCTTGTGAGGCAGAAGACAGAACTCCCAAGATCCCTGCCCCACAGAATCTGTCCCGCGGGCTGGTGAATGTGGCTGCCAAGCTGACCCACAATAAGGATGTCAGAGACCTATTTGTGGACCTTGTGGAGAAGGTGAGCAGTCCTGTCCCACACCTCTGGACCCCAGCCTGCTCTGCCTCTGAGTGGCTCTGATGGCGCTCCTTGTTCCCTTGGGCCTACAGTTTGTGGAACCCTGCCGCTCTGACCACTGGCCACTGAGTGATGTGCGGCTCTTCCTCAACCAGTATTCAGTCTCTGTCCACTCCCTGGATGGCTTCCGGTACGAGGTGCCAGGCCTGCTGGCAAATGTATTTGCCCTCCAGTAGACTGTTTCCTATTGAGCTACCCTATGGGTGGAAGTTTCCATCTCTTTGTGACCTTGGGCAAGTTACCTACCCTTTCTGTGCTTGAGCTTTCATGTTATAGGGCTTCGTGGAAACTAAATAGTGTAGGGTGTAGCTTGGTAATGGTATACTTATCCACCATATGCAAGGCCCTAAGGTCAATCCTCAGCACTGCAGGGAATGGGGAGAAGGAAGCAGGCATTAGTGGCTCAGTTCTGTAATCCCAGCACTTCGGAAGCTGGAGCAGGGTCGCCACTGTTTTCCAGGCCACCCTGGGCTACAGAATGAGACTCTTATCTCTAAAACCAACCTATGAAAAATGTGTATGAATTCCAGATGAGTTATGGTATAGAAAGCAATCATAGCAGTGTGTCAGGCACGGTATTGAGTGAACATTGACTTTCAGTGTTGCCATTTTCCTCGCAGGCACCAGACCCTCTGGGACCGCTACATGGGTACCCTCCGTGGATGCCTTCTGCGCCTCTATCATGACTAATGCCCTTTTCCCTCTCCGCTCTGGCATACCCTGACAATAAAGTTGCCATACATGGAGGTCGAGGAGCCTGGGGGCCTTTCACAGTGTGCACCTATGTGTTCTAAGCATGCCATCAGTGTGTGAAGATGTCTACACTAGCACCTCAGGGGCTGGACCATGAGCCACGTGAGGTCTTTTATACCCCACCCTCCCTCTCCATGCCCCAGCTGAAACCACTCAGTAGCCAGGGATCATGTCTTGGTTTATGGAGCCATACAGAGAAAATGGGAAGCCAGGAAGACCCTTAAGGTAGGGCTCACAAGGACAATAGTGGCCATGTGGGAGAGGCGGAGGGGTGGCTGCTGGCCTCAAGGTGGACAAGAGATTGGGAGCTTCTTAACTGGATGGTCCACACGGGCTGTGATCGGGTACTTGGTGATGCCACAGCTGTTGTTTCCCCGGTATAGCCTGAAGTAACCCTAGGAAGTTAGGGGACATCAGTGCCAGAAGGCAGAGAAGAACTAGTCTGCCCCTCCCCCTTCCCACTCTACTCACATTCTCGCCCCATTCAGCTCCCCAGGAGTTCTTCAGGATCCAGTATGGGACAGAGCGTCGAGGTTTGCGAGTTTGGGACAAGACTGTCCCTGACTGCATGCCCTCCTCCTCTTTGCCCTTACCAAAACCCACCAGTAGGACAGAATGGTCCACCTGTTGGGGGTCACAGGTAGTGGGTGTGGCCTTGATCACACCCTTCTGGTAGCCCTGCAGGGGTGGGGGATAGAGGAACTAAGTCTGGAGCTGCGTCTCCCATGTGCCCCTTTCCTCCCCCCCCCACTCTACCCACCTGTAGGAGCTTCATGTTGATAGTCACGGTGATAGGGCCATGGGTGGCCAGGTAGCCTGCAATTACTGGAAATGGGTAATTACTAGAGATTATTGAGTGTGCCATCCAGCCTTGCCTGCCCTGAGCTGCTGCTCTTCTCACAGGGGAATGGACTTTAATTGTGTCTCCCATAGCCAGGCCTGTCTGTGACTCCATTCTGGTTTCTCTGCCCCCTCCCCCCCATGTCCACCCTGGCCATACCCTGCTCATCACTGGCCAACATGGTGAAATCTTGGATCCAGGCCACCTTCGTGTACCTTTTGGCTAGGCACCCATGGGGGTTGGGGTACCCCTTGAATGGGTAATCCTGTTTGCTGGCCAGGCCACCTGAAGATAAACAAGACTGGAAAATAGGCTTGGCTACTGAATACCCTCCATCCTACTGTCCTCCCACAAGGCCTGATACTCAACTGTTGTTGAGGACAGTTACATATGCATCCCACACAAAGCCGCCATTGCAGGCATTTCCACAGCGGTCACAGTCCAGCAGCTCTGGGGCAGAAAGGGACAGCATAGGTGAGCTAGCTAGCCCCTAGGCCATCTTTCCCTGTCACACATTTTTTCCCTGCCATACCCTGCACAGAGACTTCCACAAACTCGTGGTATCTGATACGCCACAGGGCCTCAATGTTGTCCGCGGCTGCTATGGCCCAGCAGCACTTGCAGGTTTTCTGGGTGGAAGGAAGGGTTAGGCATCAAGGCCTTGACCTCATTCCCCTTCCTGGGGTAGGTTGGGCCAAACTGGGTGGGGGCAAATACCTGGTTCTTGATCGATGAGATGATGTTTGTTGCTTTACGCCAGTCACAGGTAGAGGGCACTGGTTGCCCCCATTTTTCAGACCCTACCTTTTTGACCATGTTGGGGATCCTTTCAGGTGCCTTCTGATGCCCGTATAGCTGGCCAAACTCCTCCTCTGGGGACAAACAGGGCCACAGAAGTCACAGGTTTGACATTCCTCTCTTCTATATTCTCCTATCCCAGCTGTCAAAACCTTGGCTCTTCCCATCCCTGAGACACCGTTCGAGGCATCATGTGGATTAGTGAGGTCTAGAGAGTCCGGCATGTTCTGGTGTGGTCTCTGCACCTTCTATCTCTGGCCTGTGGGCCAAGCTGGGACACAGGCTGTAGCGTTCCTACCTTGTGCTCTGGGATTTGGGGCAGTCACCCGGACTGGCCTTGAAAGGGGAGGACTTTGCTCTGTCCATCTGCCAGACACCCTACCCACCAACTATGGGCCAGGAAGGCTCTGGTACCTGTGAGGTCACTGAATGGAGTCTCTCCAAACTCTGCTGTGCCCAAATCTTCTTCCTGCAGCCGCTGAGCCTGGGCCAGGTTGTGGGCAAATATGTTCAGACGGTGAGCATATTCTAGGCCAAAAAGGAGTTGTTAGCGGGGTTGTCTCAGAGCCGGAAGTGGCCATTGGTTGTGCCACCCACACCCACCTAGGTGAGTGCTGGCTCTTTTGTATAGCGTGATCACTATCACCTACTGCAAGAAAGTGGTTCTCCAGCCCACATGAGGTTAGAATTTCCCCAAGAGGCACCGAGAGGCCCACCCTAGGGGAAAGCTGAGAAAGACCACTATAGGCAGTAACTGGGAAAGGAAATAGGTTTGACATAGGTTTCCTGTACCTGTGGGCTGTACCTTCCCTGCCTCTTCTCACATCTGACCACAGGTATGGAGGGTGAGTGGGTAGAGTGTGGGGATGGGGCATAGCGCGTGCACACATGCACAAGAGCACGCATGCATGCACATGCACGCGCGCGCGCGCGCACACACACACACACACACACACACACTCATGCACACACAAAGATGAAACTCCAGAGTAAAAGAGAGAACAGCCCGTTCTGGGCTGGGCCAGGGTAAACAGGGCAAGGATGGGGGACAGAGAGTTGACATGAGACAAGAGGAGTATCCTAGGGTATTTGCTGATTGAAAATGTGACTAGATGGTGGTCCTCCACTCCCACCTGGAGTCACAGTTAGGTGGCTGCAGAGTGAGGACCATTCCATGCCCATCATACTTTGGGGAAGCCAAAGAGTACACTATGGACCCTGTTTCCTACTGAGTGACCTGGGCCAGGTCTTTTCCCCATTCAAAGCCCTAATCCATCTATGAAGTGGACAGAGGGAAAGGGACTGGAAGCATCTGCATCGTTATACCTGCTGGGTTTGCATAACTCCGGTTGTACTTGATCTGGAATAGCTTGAAGACTTCTGTCAGCTCCAGTGGTCGGGGACCTGTATCCTAGCAAGGAGGCAAAGTGGGGAGAGGCACAGGAAAGAATCATTGTATCTAACCAAGGTACAAGGACAGGACTAAGGGGTCACCAGACATTCTCCTCTTTGCTCAATGTGAGCAGTCACATATTAGCCTCAATTGCTCCCTCTGAGAAATGGGAAAGATAAAGCCACACAGAACAGCTCATCCCTATAATTGAATGTTCAGCCTAGCATTCAAGAGGCTGAAGCAGAAAGATAGCTGGGAGTTTTAAGCCAGTGAAGCCAGCCTGCACTACACAGTTAAAGGCCAACCCAAGCTACAAAATGAGAGGGTTAGGGTTAGTTTTGTTTTGTTTTTAGATAGTTTCTCTACATAGATAGCCTTGTTTGTTCTGGAACTTACTATGTCACTACATAGACCAGGTTGGCCTCAAACTCACAGAGATCTTCCTGCTACCATTCCCTGTCTTAAGAAAATTTAAAAAAAGAGAAATATGCCAGTTCATAAAGAGAAGACCCCCCGGCATGGGACAGGCATGGAAGGGCATGGAGAGCAGATTAGAGTTATTTACCTTGGTGAGGAGGGAGTCACTGAGGTGTTGGCCTGCTGTCAACAGAGCCAGAAAATAGAAGAGGTGGACAGTCAGTGCCATGGTGCAGCCACGAGTGATGGAAGGCAGGAAGCTGTATAGACCAAGTTGGAAAGGGCGGAGCTAGAGAAACCACGAGGGGAAACCAGGCTTGGGGGGAGACGGTAGACCCTCCCAGCTGACTGGCTGTCCCCCACCAACTTCTTTTCAATAGCAGCTCTTAGTTACCCTGTTCTGGAAAATACTGGGACTATAAGCACAAATCTCTGTTTAAGGAAACAAGGAGGCTAAGTGGACAGTGATGATACTGACATCTCCGCCATGATGGAAAACCTAGACAGCACAAGCCTCAGGGATCAGCAGTGGTCTGGCTCCCTTAGGGGCTCACTCTTGCTTTTCCTGTGAAATTCAGTCAACCTAAGGGCCACCATCTTTAAGAAGCTGTTTCTTCTTGAGATCCCAGCCTGAGGTATAACTGTTTATAGCCCCTTGATCCCTTTTCACACTTCTGCCCATTCATCACCCAACCACATGGGAGTATCCAGTTGGTCTGTGTCTAGACCATCCAGAAATAGGGGGCAGGCTCAGTGAGTATTCAGTTAGTTTGGGTTGTTTTCTTCATTTGATGTATTTGAGACTGAGATGGAGTCCTACTATGTAACCCTGGCTGATCTAAAACTCTCCAGCTGTGTCAACTAGGCTAACCTTAAATTCACAAATATTTTCTTGGCTCTGCCTGAGTTCTGGGATGAAAGGTGGGTGCTATCATACCACACAGTTTGGGGGTTCTTTTGCGAGGGAAGGAACTGGGTCTCCTGTAGCTCAGGCCAGCCTTAAACTCCTTAGGTAGTTGGGGAAGACCTTCAATTCTAGATCCTGCTGCTTAGACCTGAGTCCTTTGATTACAATCAATGTGTATTGGATGACTGAAAGCTTATAGTCAGCTTCTGTCCCATTTCTCTCCATCCATATATATGAATGAGGAGAAAGAAAGACAACAGGAAGTATCACAGAAAAAACAAGCCCAAAGCTAGTGTGGTCAGGCACTCGGCAGCGCCTTCATACCTGTTAACTGGTGCTTCCATTCTAAGTGGGCCATTAGGCTAAAGAAGCTCCCCCCCACACCACCACCACCGACCTCCAGACTGGGAAACAGTAGCCAAGACCAGAGATAGGTGTAGGAACTAGCCTCCCAGGTATTGCGGTCAGGGTGAAGAAGGAGGGGCCTTGTCCTGGAGGGGAGCCATCCATTTACATGCTTTCTACCTCATCTCCTCATGAGGAATTGTCTTAGAATTGTTATGTTCCATTAAACTCCACCCATATATCTCCCTGAGACAGTAAACTGAGAGACTATTTAAAAAATAATTCTGAAAAAACAGGAAGGAAAATAAATTAAAAAATAATGCTGCTTTAATTAAAATGCAGTGGATAGGATGCCCACACATGCATAGCCCAATGGCCCTAGAGCCCAATTACATGCCCCAAGTGGATCTTGTGCTGTGTGGGTCCTATGTAGGTGCCATACATGTGGCATTTAGGCTGTCCCTTGTGGAAAGCTAAAAGGAAGGGGCTGGGGCTTTTCCTTTGTCCCTTCTGTCTTTCACACAAGTTTTGGTGAGTTTTGGTCAGTGCTCTCTGTATCCTTGGTGCCTGGCACATCTGGTCAACAGTAGCCACTCAGCAAACAATGAATGAATCCTTCCCATCTTGATCACTTGTTCATGTTTATTCTGTTGTTCCTGCCCAGCAACCAGCCATGACTGGGCCATGAGCCCAGGAACCTCACTATTTTTTTTTTTTTTTTTTTTTTTTTTTTAGGAAAAAGCAACCAAATAGGAAGTTTCAGAGGGACTCGATGCCAATCCAGGGAGGTTAGGTAGTCACTGGGGTGCCAGAGGTCAGAAGCCCTCCAGAAGGCAGTTCCAAGGGGCTTATTGGCACAAGATTGGATGTTCATGCCCAAGTTTGTTATCAACTACTCTCTGAGTCATCTCTCTCTGGGTCTTAGTGCCTCTAAGTGACAGCGACAGTTATTGAGTAGGATGACACTCAAAGAGCCTGGCCAGGTTGACTTGATAGCTCCTTCTCATTTGAATAGAAGACAAAGTTCAGTCTTAGAGCCAGAGACTTGAGTTCTAACACTGTTCTTGCTGCTTTGGTGTCACGTGGGGCAAATCTGCCGGCCCCTGTCATCTGTGGAGTAGCAATGGCATCCCAGGTCTGGCTTGACAAGAGGATTGTAGAGTGCCCTTACCAGTGCCTGGGGTGGTTAGATCTGGATAATGAAGAGTTTTTACTTGCATTAATAACAGTTTTAGTGGGTAGTTATGGTGGCAAATGCCTGTAATTTCAGCACATGGGAGGCTGAGACAAGAGGCTTGCCAGGAATTCAAGGCTACCTGGTTTCATAATAAATCCCAGGCCAGCATGGGCTATATGAGACCCTGTTTCAAATAGTACCAACAGACAGATTTTTTTTTTTTTTTCCAAGACAGGGTTTTGTTTTGTTTTTGTTTTTTCAAGACAGGCAGTATAGCTCAGCCTTAGCTATATTGGAACTAGCTTTGTAAACCAAACTGGCCTTAAACGCATGGAGATCCCCCTGCCTCTCAAGTGCTAGGATTAAAGGCGTGCACCACCCACCACCTGGCTGCCAACAAAGAGATCTACTGAGTGATAAATCATTTACTATGCAATTTAACTTTTTGGTTTTGTGTTTTTGTTGTTATTTTTAAGACAAGGTCTCACTATGTTGCTTTGGCTGTCCTGGAACTCACTATTTAGAGCAGGCTGGCCTCATAGAGATTCACCTGCCTCTGCCTCCCAAATGCTGGGATTAAAGGCATGCACCACCACCACTGACCAGCTGCAATTTACTATAGGGTGGTGCACTCCTTTAATCCTAGCACTCAAGAAGCAGTAGTAGGTGGATCTCTGTATTGGAGGCCAGTGTGTCTACAGACAGCCAGGACTATACAAAGATCCTGTCTGAAAAACCAACCTAAAAAAAAAAAAAAAAAAAGATTTCTCCTTGGAGACCAAACTGATCTCAAACTCACAGAAATCTGCTTGCCTTTCCCAAGTGCTGGAATTAAAGGTATGTGCCACCAGGCCAGACTCTCTCTCTTATTTTTCTTTTTTCTTTTCTGTCTCCACTAGTGAGTGGGGCTTTGAGATTGGCCTGATTGGGCAATGGGGAATGAAGAAATAACAGACATGCATACTGAAAGCCTGGGGATGTGGTGGGCCATGTGTTTTGAGGGAGGGAGACACACCAGCAGCCTGGAAACTCGGCCAGTTTATTTATTACTTGATCCGAAGGAGAGTTTGCTAATCTCATTATGGGGACTCAGCAGAGGAGCAGTCTCATGCTTCAGTCATCTGGGCTTTCAAAATGCACGCACTGTCTGTGTCTGCACTCACTCATGGAAGGTCTTGCCATTCCTTTGAGCCTGGCCTGGAGAAGACCCTGCCATTCCCACGAGTCTGAGGGATTGGGGTCCTTGACATAGCTATGTTAATATCAGTAATACATATTCACTCAAGACTTCATGCGCACCCCACACCTTTCTTGTGTCTGTGCTTTGTTCTACTTCAGTATGTGTGTGTGTGGTTACTGGTCTTGATCATGCTAAACAAATAGCATACTACTGAGCTACACCCTAGTCCTCTATTGGAAAAAAAAAAAAAAGACTGGAGAAATGGCTGCAGTATTCCTCTTTCAGATGACTTGAGTTTGGTTCTCAGTACCCACATCAGACAGCTCACAACTGTCTGTAACTCAGATCCAGGGAATACCTCTGGCCCCTGGACACCCGCACTCAAGCCTGTACATCAGTACACAGGTGCACCATAATCAAACACATCATTAAAATATTTTTGTTCCTAAAAAAATGGCAATGGAAGCCGGGGAGGTGGCTCACTGGGTAAAGTGTTTACCACAAACATGAGGGTCTTGAGTTCAGGTTCTCAGCACTAGCATAACCAATTGTGGTGGTGATGCCTGTGTGAAACCCCAGTGCTGGAGAACCTGGGAGGTGGAGGCCGGCAGGTCCTGAGAGCAAACTGGCCAACAAGTGCAGCAGAAATAGTGAACTCTAGATTTAGTTACACAATGTCCTCTACTGGTACGTAGGCACACAGGAATATACTACACACAGACAAGTCCATGAAATGAGGCATATAATATATATATATATATATAATTTTTTTTTTAATACTGTCATAGCTGGGCATGGTAGCGCACGCCTTTCCTCCCAGCACCTGGGAAGCAGAGGCGGGTGGATCTCTGTGAGTTCCAGGACAGCCAGAGCTACTTTGTAAGAACCTGTCTCGAAAAGATATTTAAAAAACAAAAGAAAGAAGAAAAGATGGAAAGAGGTTGGATAAGGGAAAGGAAGGTCGGGCTGTTGCTGCAAGCAGTAAGGGTCAGGCAAGGGAACCCTGGACACGCAGTCCTTTCCCGTCTAGTCCCGCCCTGAGACGTGGGCAACGCGAAGTCCCGCCCATTCGCCCCTTCCTGGGAGCTGGAGGCACATAGACTCCGCCCTCAGGGCATAATCTCCGCTGGGGACCCAGACGGAAACTGGGTGGGGGACCTGGGTGGAAAGAGGGTCGGGAAAGGGTTGGCACTCGGCCCTAGTGTCCTCCGCGCCCAAGTTCAAGTTTCCCAGTTTTCTGTGGGGTTCCATTCATTTCGGGCCAAGACAACTGCTGCCCTCACCCCCATACTAGTATAGCACTGTGCAGGCAGGCTCAGGGTAAGCAAGTGCCCTGAGTAGAGAGACCACCTGGAGACCGTGGAGCTCATGGGCAGAGGGAGAGGGACAATTAACCTTGGATGAAGGTTTGAGACCATCTTACTGACGGTGCGGGAGCACAGGATAAAATTCTGAAAGCAGTAAGACTTGGAGGTTCGAGAAAATAAGTGGCGAGTAAGTTCTGAGAGGCGCAGATTCGGGGTCTGGATGTTTAGCTACAACTGAGGTGCCAGTGCACACCATGGGATTGTGGAGGACCAGGTTAGATAGGGTGGCTAGGATAACATTTTCAATGAGGCACTGAGGTC